ACGAGCCAGCTACCCCCTTCCTCTTCCCCCTCAACCCAAAACCTGGACACCTCACTTGTTTATCTATGACTTTAGGCTTTAATTCCATGATAATCATTCTTTTTCTTCTCAGCAATAATAATATAATATTATTACAGTCAAGTCACCCAGTAAGTCAGTCAAGTCATTCAGTCAGTCAGTAAAGTCATTCAGTCATGTCATTCAGTCAGTCAGTCAAGTCATTCAGTCAGTCAGTCAAGTCATTCAGTCAGTCAGTCAAGTCATTCAGTCAGTCAGTCAAGTCATTCAGTCAGTCAAGTCATTCAGTCAGTCAAGTCATTCAGTCAGTCAGCCAGTCAAGTAGTTCAGCAAGTCAGTCAAGTCATTCAGCAAGTCAGTCAAGTCATTCAGTAAATTAGTCACACAAACTCATGTTAATCTTTTTCTGTGTACAAAGTAACACTTCATTCATGGCTACAGGTTATCTCTTGTCTAATATCTTTGTTAATTCTAAGACTTAAGTGCTTATACCTCTTCGTGCCACTTTCGGCAACATTAGTATGGCTACTGGGTGTCATGATTGCTTGGCAGATACAAGATATAGTAATTAAAATATCATAACAATTGACAAACACAGCTGCCTTGTAGCAGAGAAAAACTGGACACTATGAATTACGAATGTTGGGATGGTGGGGTGGTGTTGGGGAGTGGTAGAGGATGGCTCCCCGGCTGCTCCACAACAAGGCGGCCACTTGAGCAAAAGAGAATTTTTGTTTTTCCTTCCCACAAACTGAACCATGTTAAATTAATTATATGACGTGTTACATAAAATTGTCCAGCAATTCTTCAATGGCGGTCTACTGTATTATTATAATAACAATAGAGCTTCAGTTCCCTAAATTAATAATAATAATAATAATGCATAATATGTACGTAATAATAATTCAGACTGCTTCTGCTAGTTGGCACAGCTGATGGCACAGCTGGTAAGCAGTAAACATGTTTACGTCCCTGTGGGGGCAGTTCTCTCGTGCTTGTTTGCATTTTTTTTTTTTTACAGTCATTTGCCCAAATTTCTTTTTTCTAACCATGGGTCCCAGTGATCTACTGCAGTTAGCCTAAAAAATACTCTGTTTTCTCTTACAGTAAGAACATGGGAAGATACTGTAGTCAAATTGGAACAGAAATGGCAGACGCTTCTGCCGCTGCCACCATATTTTGGCTTATTTTATTCATTCTAGAGTATATATCATGTTTCTGTGCTAATTATATTGTTTATTATGTCACAGTAGGTGAATTGTGATAGATAAATAAGCCGTACTGTTAACCCCTTCAGGGTCCAAGGCCCAAATCTGAAGTGGTGCCCCAGTGTTTACCTGGAGAGAGTTCCGGGGGTCAACGCCCCCGCGGCCCGGTCTGAGACCAGGCCTCCTGGTGGATCAGAGCCTGATCAACCAGGCTGTTGCTGCTGGCTGCACGCAAACCAACATACGAGCCACAGCCCGGCTGATCCGGAACTGACTTTAGGTGCTTGTCCAGTGCCAGCTTGAAGACTGCCAGGGGTCTGTTGGTAATCCCCCTTATGTGTGCTGGGAGGCAGTTGAACAGTCTCGGGCCCCTGACACTTATTGTATGGTCTCTTAACGTGCTAGTGACACCCCTGCTTTTCATTGGGGGGATGGGCATCGTCTGCCAAGTCTTTTGCTTTCGTAGTGAGTGATTTTCGTGTGCAAGTTCGGTACTAGTCCCTCTAGGATTTTCCAGGTGTATATAATCATGTATCTCTCCCTCCTGCGTTCCAGGAATACAGGTTTAGGAACCTCAAGCGCTCCCAATAATTGAGGTGTTTTATCTCCGTTATGCGCGCCGTGAAAGTTCTCTGTACATTTTCTAGGTCGGCAATTTCACCTGCCTTGAAAGGTGCTGTTAGTGTGCAGCAATATTCCAGCCTAGATAGAACAAGTGACCTGAAGAGTGTCATCATGGGCTTGGCCTCCTAGTTTTGAAGGTTCTCATTATCCATCCTGTCATTTTTCTAGCAGATGCGATTGATACAATGTTATGGTCCTTGAAGGTGAGATCCTCCGACATGATCACTCCCAGGTCTTTGACGTTGGTGTTTCGCTCTATTTTGTGGCCAGAATTTTTGTACTCTGATGAAGATTTAATTTCCTCATGTTTACCATATCTGAGTAATTGAAATTTCTCATCGTTGAACTTCATATTGTTTTCGCACCCCCTGAAAAATTTGGGTTGATGTCTGCCTGGAGCTTTGCATTTCCCCGCAATGGAAGACACTGTTGCAGATTGGGTGTCATTAAAAAGGAAACCAGGTGTGTGGCTGACATCCTTGTCTATGTCGGATAAAAGGGAGAGGAACAAGGGGGCGAGTATTGCCTTGTGGAAAGAGCTTTCACCAGCGCCTGGGATTTACTCTTTTGACGACTACCTCTGTGTTTCTTTTTAGTGAGGAAATTAAAATAGACCCATCGACCGACTTTTTCCTTTTATTCCTTTAGACGCATTTTGTGCGCTATTACCCATGGCACACTTGTCGAGGCTTTTGAAAATCTGTATAATTACATCTGCTTTTCTTTTGTCTTCTAGTGCTTTTAGGCCCTTGTCGTAGGGTCCAATATTGAGACAGACAGGGCGACCTTTCTAAACCCTTTTGCCCGGGGTTGTGTAACGGGAGGGGTTTCTAGATGCGTGGTGATCTTGCTTCTTGGGACCCGGTGATCTTGCTTCTTGGCCCCCCTTTCAAAGATTTTTTGATATGGGATTTATCATTGGTCTGTAGTTCTTTGCGTTGCTTTACTCCCCCCTTTGTGGGGGGGGGCTATGTCTGTTTTTTTTTTTAAAATGTGGGACGCCCCCCGTGTCCTGCTCCCCTCCCATGGGAGGGAAAAGGCCGGAAGGGCTTCTTGCTTTTCTTGATAAACACGGGGTTCCAGGTCGGCCCGGGGCGAGTGATGGGCATTCATTTATCGCCTGTTCGAAGTCATTTGCATCAGGATAACATGGGATAGGCTTGTGTTAATCAAATTTTGGGGGGGTTTTCTCTCAAAAAAAATTTTCATTTTGATCTTCGCTCTCATCTGGTTAGGGCTTGCTAAAAACTGAGTCATATTGGGACTTGAGTACTCACTCATTTCCCTTGCTTCACTTGTAGGACCCATCTTTTTTAAGTGGGGCCCAATACTGGACGTTGTTCTCGATTTTTTATTTGGCATAGAAGAAGAAAAAATTTGGGTTCTTTCGATTTATTTATGGCTTTAGTTCTTTTCCCCCATTCCTGACTCCTAAAGGATCTTTTAGCTTAAGTTTCGATGCTTGCTATTTCTCTGCCATTTCTCCCCACGCATTTTTAGAATTTGACCTCTTTTACCGCTCTGTTATTCTTTCCGTCCCTGTAAAGGGGGCGCCTGCCTTTCTGTTTTACATCTACCCTCCTTTTTCTTAGAAGAATAAGCCTTGTGCATACATCGAGGCCACCGGTTAACTGTTTTAGGCATAAATTGGGGGCTGTGTTGCTTATATATCTTCCCAGCTTATATCGGTTGGACTTGGTTTATTTGGGTCCCATTTTTGTTTTTGTTATTGAAGTTAAATTTTGGTAAAATGCTCCCTCTGAAAATCTCATTTTCGGTCTGGGGCCCCGCGCATCATGATGAACCTCAATTTGTTGTTCTGGTATATTGTTTTTGTATGGTGATATTTTTTCAGTCATCTTGTTGTAAAGATAGGTCAGTGTATTCTCCAGTCAAGGTCTATTATTTGCTGGTTTAATTGAATTTTGTGAGAGTTTTAAAAGTTTGCGTGGTGTGATTTTTTCATAAGCTGCCCCCCCCCCCGGGCTTTATTACTGAAACAATGGGTATTTGCTATATCCTCCATTTTAGGTGCCTTAGTTGAAACCCCCCGGGAGCAAGATGTTGGGTGCGGGAGGGGAAAATGTTTTCCCGGGCAGTGGTCAATTTTTAACAGCTTTTCCCTGGAATTGCTGGGATTTTGCTCCGAGGCTTGTAACTATCACAAGAAGGTTTTGGTTCTGACCTTTACTGCTAAAAAATTCCACTACTCATTTGAGGGATTTTGCATTCTGTGTCCAAGAATTTCAAAAAAAAAAAAAAAAAAAAAAAATTTTTATTTTTTTTTTAGTAATGGTTTTTGAATCTTTTTGTGAGGGAATAAAAGAAAAAAGTACGAAATTTGATAGAAAATTGACGAAATTATGCTCTCGCGAATTTTGATGTGTCTGCGATATTTACGAATCGGCGATTTTGCCGAATTTGACTCCCATTTTAGGCCAATTACATTATTCCAGTCAACCAAATTCTTAGCTATTTCACTAGTATTACTTCTATTCTATCAATTGAGCACAAGAAATCGCCAAGTCAACCGTTTCAACTACAAATTAAAGTGATCGGAAATTGTTAATTTGGCCAATTTAACACAAAGTTCAAAATATTCCAATTTCAAAATAGGATCCAGAATAAACAATATAGGTATTCCTGGAACTAAACTAACATTTCCTCTGTTTATTAGTTACATTTTGAGGCTTTACAAATAAATTCCATTTTGATTTTTTATTCACATAATGAATTTTTATTCACACCAAAAAATAGAAGATTTACTGTTATGCAATACTGTAATAATTGTATAAATATCATCACCATATTTGAGAATGCATATTAGACCCACCAGCTGGCGTGTATTAGACGTGTGAGGCCGTTTGTTTACTCTTGAATATCGGCAAAAATTTAACATTTCTGCTACTTTGAGCTCAGTTTCAAGCCATTTCCAGTGCTAAAACCAATCAAAATCATCTCTATTTCTGTAATATGTCTTCCATTCTATCAAATGAGACCAAGAAATAGCAAATACAACTATAAAAAACATACGAAAAAACACTGCAAAGTCGCTGTTTTAATCGAAAAATCATGATCAGTTTTTTTTCTCATTATACACAGTGTGCTGAAGGATCTGTTTTATGTGGTGCACACATACCACATAGATGTATTTTCTCATATCTAGGCCCAAATGTACCATTCACAGTTTATCAGAGTGAGCTGAGCTCATGACGTAGATCTACGGTTTGGACCCTGAACGTAAAGCCGTAGATCTACGGGACGGACCCTGAAAGGGTTAATAATAGTGTCATATTCAAGTATTTTTTCTCATCTCTCCAGAGTGCAGGAACGAATTAATGGCTTTTCAATTCATTTAAATGAGGAAAATTAATTTGATATATGAGTAAATTGAGTTATGAGCTAGCTCCTGGAATGGATTAAACTCATAAGTCAAGGTTCCACTATAATTTTACATTTCTTGTTTCATCAAAAATGAAATATTTGATACCTCACATTGCAGATGTCTATCTGTAAAATACAAGTTATATACCCAAAACCTAAATAAAAACTTTTTGAATATATGTACATAGTAAGGCTAGTGTTTGATACAGTGTTCCCTCCAGAGAGAAAAAAAAACAGCATAGCATTCCTTAGAGATAAAACCCACAGGACTAGTAAGCCACCAGTGACAAATTTAACACACCCATGCTAAAAAAAAATAATAAATAATTTTACTTTACCTTAAATTCTTTGCTACCTTTGCTTGTAGATATTAGAAGTAAAGAACAAAAAGGCACAATACTGTGACTGGAACGATACACAAATAACCCGCACATAGGAGAGAGGAACTTATGACGATGTTTCAATCTAACTTGGACCAGAGTGACTTTGTAAATGGTCCAAGTCAGACCGAAACATCGTCGTAAGCTCCTCACTCCTACGTGCAGGTTATTTGTGTATTGATATTAGAAGTGTTTGGAGATGGTTATGTAGTTCAATTGAGTAGCAGACAGCTGTGGGTCATCTGGATTATTAGCTGATGCCCCTCATACAATCCACTACACAATTTTCTCATTTATAATAATGAAAACAAAGAGCTTTATCCTAATTTTTTTGTTCTCTTGCTTGTTGATAGGAGCTGTGGCAGAAAAGAATAAGTGCCAAATTCAATTTATGAAGTAAAACACTGGCATGAGAGAGAGAGAGAGCTATCAAGCTCAAGTTGCCATACTTCATGGGGCTCTGAGTCTAGCTTACAGATGGAGAAGGCAATATCTACACATTCCCACAAACAGGTGCAACATTAAGGAATCAAATCATTCATTAACCTGAATTTTGGCAGTGGTGGTGCTTGTTCTTTTCTGCCACACAATGCCTCATACGTAAGTGTTTGGAGATGGTTGTGACTACTGATTGGTAAACAGTTGCAAATTTTCTATTCATGGTTTGTTAATTGACGGATGTGGGTCACCTCTTGAGGTATATTGAACCAGTCAGCAGTCAACACCACTCAGGCCACTGAAATTTCTGAACAGAAGTCCTTTCATGCTCTCCATGGCGAAGTGGAACAGAATTCTTCCTCTGTAAGCCATGCGTGTTGTAAGAGGCGACTAAAATGCCGGGAGCAAGGGGCTAGTAACCCCTTCTCCCATATAAATTACTAAATTTAAAAGAGAAACTTTCGTTTTTCTTTTTGGGCCACCCTGTCTTGGTGGGATATGGCCGGTGTGTTGAAAGAAAGAAAGAAAGAAAGTCTATAATGAAGTAAAATAAGACATTTAATGTGCCCTAGAGTGATTATTATTACGTGCTATTAGCAAAGTAAAGCGATGTTAAATTTGCACTTATTTCATCTAATTCTTTTGTATTTATGTAAGTATTTTAGTATTAAGCAGTGTTTAAATTACATATTTTGGTATTAAGCAGTGTTTAAATTATTTTATACAACCCCATCAATGTATAATGTGCCAATAACAATAGGATTTTTTTCACGGGAATGGATTAATCGTTTTCCCTATATTTCTTATGGGAAAATTTGTTTGGTATATGTCCTGTTTGGTATAAGTCCAAGGTCCTGGAAAGGATTAAGGACGTATACCAGGGTACCACAGTAATTGTATGCCATTGCAATATCAGTGTATTTCTACAATACAGTACAACTTCTATTATGTATTTTGAAAAGAACCATCACATAAGCACAGCATTGAAGATAAATGTATTATAAAGTACACAACAGACTAATTTTACAATGGTCTTTTTTGCTGATTTACTATTCACAATGACTTCATTAATAATAAACTTCTATCATAAAGAAATGTCATAAAATTTTGTCACTAGATAAATAACATTACAACTATAAAGATACTTTTATTAATTTTTCTTACCTTGTTTGTTGTGTCTACTTCCTTGGGATCTCTCAATAATTTTTGTGCAGGTTTCCTAATGACCCGTGGTTTAAGAGCTAAACGATTGACCATGCTTACATAAGTCGGCATCTTAATAACCCTACGGATTGTTCCTGTGCTTCCTGGTTTACTTGCTTCATCACCACCACCTTCAGCTTTCACTTCAGCACGACTTCCGCCACTATCTTTATTGGATCTGTTACCAGCTCTCCCTCCACCGGTACCTCCCCCACTTCTAGGCCCCCGCTTCACTGTTAAACGCTGATATTCTGTAAAATGAAAAAGAACACATAATATATAGTTTACACATACATTAACAAATTCAGAGTATTTAGAAAAATAGTCAACAGACTCAACACTACTATTTAGATATTTTCAAAGTATAAAATTTTTTATTATTTTCAGGAAACTATTAATCTCAAGATAGAGGAATACTGTGTATCAGTGTTGTGAATCATTACTTACTCTTTAATATTTTGTTTCTCTTGAGTGGTAGGGCTCTTCTCCGAGCCTTGTACCCTCCCAACCTTTTCTTGGGATCACCCAACCGAGATCTTTTAACCAAGGTTGATCTATCACTTGATCTCGCAGTTCTTCTAGCAAGAAGACGTGACCTACCGGGTGACAGTGGACGCTTACTTCCTTCAGACTTACGAGATTCAATCCAAAGTCTTAGATCATCTGGACGTCTAGAGAAATTAAATTTTCATTAGAGCAAGGTTTTCAATAAAATATTGCTTCAAGGAGATCACAAATGGTTTTATTATCTGGGATGAATTAACTCAATTTACTTTTTAAAATACAAAATTATTAATTACTATTCATAGGTTTAATACTCCTCTTTAGATTTGCAATAGAAGTGTCAAAGATATACTACCAAGAAGTTACTGGTTCCCAGAGGATTAATCTGAAAACAGTGGAAGAAGCTTGCAAAGTATGCAAGGAATAATGCCTCTAATAATAAATTTCTAGGAGTTAATACTTAAAAACTTAAGAGAATGGATGGCCAGCCTAGCACCCAACAATAGAGTTGTATATACTATCCAGTGCATTTACATTTAGTTTAAAACAGACACTGTATTTAGACACTAGCATGCAAAACCAAAATAAACCACACAAGAAATCTGCCATAGAGCAACATTTCCCTAAAACATTTCACACCACTTGATAAGCACCAACCCGATCATGTTACTACAATTTCAAGTCAATGACAATCATTTTGAGTGGACTTGATCTACAGGGTGCAACAGATGTGTGTGATTCACTTGTAAAAACCTGCATTTGTGGTCACAGTGAGGCCCATGCTAAACTTCCTATAGTACAGAAGCATACATAGTTGGATGAACCATTGTACAGGTGGGGACTGAACTCGCAGCAAATGAGTCTTAAAACTCCAGGCCAGTGTGTAAGCCACTAGGCCAGCTGCAATCGTGTCGTTACGATTTCGTGAGCTATAGCTGGATGAATCTCATTGACTGGTACAATGATTAGCTGAGAGTAAGACACATGTGCAACATCTGGGTATCTTTATTGTAGACGTTTCGCCATCCAGTGGCTTTATCAATACAAATTCCAGGACATAACTTGAAGACATTAGAACTATGTACAGAAGATGAGGTAATCAGTCCCTCAACCTAGGAGTAGGTGCGAACAGCACCATAGTCCCTAGGTTGAGGGACTGATTACCTCATCTTCTGTACATAGTTCTAATGTCTTCAAGTTATGTCCTGGAATTTGTATTGATAAAGCCACTGGATGGCGAAACGTCTACAATAAAGATACCCAGATGTTGCACATGTGTCTTACTCTCATCTTGTCGGTATTATATACCATTCGTACACAACAATGATTAGCACACCATCCTGCTAGTTTAAGGATTGATTTGCCATGGGTTCGAATCCCACATTCTGAAATGTCATAAAATTTTAAGAATTTTGCAAATATTTCATGGTTCTTGATCAATTTATACCAAATAAATGTAAGTGCTCTATACATGCATAAAATTAGCATACACAAAACATAAATGCACTTGGTGAAGAGTAATGTTTTACTTGGACATGCAGAAAACAGAAGAATGACAAAATTAATCCAAAATGCAAGGAATCTTTCATACAGAAACAGATTACAAGCCCTGAACCTACACTCTTAACCCTTTGAGGGTCGAGACCCCCGATCTGAAACTCATCCACAGGGTCCAAGAAAAAAAAAAATGGAAATGTACGAGAGTACAGTAGTACCACACTTGTATGGGTGTGAAGCATGGGTTGTAAATGTTGCAGCAAGGAGGAGGCTGGAGGCAGTGGAGATGTCATGTCTGAGGGCAATGTGTGGTGTAAATATTATGCAGAGAATTCGTAGTGGAAATTAGGTGGTGGTGTAGAGTTACTAAAAATATTATTCAGAGGGCTGAAGAGGGGTTGTTGAGGTGGTTTGGTCATTCAGAGAAGGTGGAGCAAAATAAGATGGCTTATATAAATCTGTAGTGGAGGGGAGGAGGGGCAGGGGTCATCCTTGGAAAGGATGGAGGGAAGGATGGGGAAGAGGGTTAAAAAGAGGTTTTGTGTGTAAGGGGCTTGGACATGCAACAAGCATGTGAGAGCATGTTAGATAAGAGTGGAGACGAATGGTTTTTGGGACCTGATGAGCTGTTGGAGTGTGAGCTGGGTAATATTTTGTGAAGGGTTCAGGAAAACCTATTAGCCAGACTTGAGTCCTGGAGATGGGAAGTACAATGCCTGCACTCTGAAGGAAGGGTTTGGGATACTGGCTGTTTGGAGTGGCATCTAAACTGTCATATCTGAGCACCTCTGCAAAGACAGTGATTATGTGTGAATACTGGTGATTTTTTTTTTAACCCTTTGAGGGTTTTCGTCGTACTAGTACGTCTTACGAGTGGGGGTTTTTGACGTACTAGTACTCATAAATTCTAGCGGCCTCAAATCTAGTGGGAGAAAGCTGGTAGGCCTTCATATGAAAGAATGGGTCTATGTGGTCAGTGTGCACAGTCTAAAAAAAATCCTGCAGCACACAGTGCATAATGAGAAAAAAAAAACTTTTACCATTTTTTTTAATAAATCAGCGACTTTGCAGTGTATTTTCGTATGGTATTTATTGTTGTATTCTAGTTTTCTTGGTCTCATTTTATAGAATGGAAGACATATTTCAGAAATTGAGATGATTTTGACTGGTTTTACAAAGAAAGGTGCCTTGAAATTGAGCTCAAAGTAGCAGAAATGTTCGATTTTTACCAAACTTCAAAAGTAAACAAATTGTGCCAAGCGTGCAATACACGTCAACTGGTGAGTCTAATATTCTTTTACAAGTGCACCAATAATATTTATACTATTTTTTACACTAATGCAGTAGTCTGCATAACAGTAAATCTTATATTTTTTGTGAAAATAAAAATTCAAAGTGGAAAGCAAAAGAATATAAGAGGGGCCTTGAGACATGACTAATGACTAGAGGAAATGTCATTTTAGTGCCAGGAATGTCTTTCTTGTTTATTCTGGACCCTATTCGGAAATTGGCATCTTTTGAAATTTGTGTGAAATTGGCAAAATTGCTAAATTCTGACCACTGTACTGGATAGTTGAATTTCATAAATGAGTGGTTTCTTGCACCCATTCGATAGAAAAAATGGAGTTCTAGCGAAATATTCATGTTTTTTGTCGACTAGTACAGTGAAATTGGCCGAAAATGGGGCTCAAAGTAGGCAAAATCGCCGATGCGTAAACATCGCCGAGACCGCTAACTTTGCGAGAGCATAATTCCGTAAGTTTTCTATCAAATTTCAAACTTTTGGTGTCTTTATGATCGGGAAAAGATTCTCTATCTTTTCATAAGAGAAAATAATTTTTTTTTTTTTTAAATTTGGCCGACCCTGAGAACGAGTTTCGGAGAGGGCCTGTCGACCCTCAAAGGGTTAAGGGGGGGGGGGGGTCACCTTGCCTTGGTGGGAGACAGCAGACATGTGGAAAAAAAAATACGTATATATTATTAAATGACGATAATCTTTTTGGAAAAGGAATGACACCAAAAGTATGAAATTTGATGGAAAACTCACGGAATTACACTTTTACAAAATTAACAGTCTTGGTGACAGTTACGCACCAGCAACATCACCTAATGAGCCCTATTTTAGGACAATTCCATTGCTCCAGTCAACCAAACTCTTAGCCATTTCACTAGTATGCCTTCCATTTTACCAATTGAGAACAAGAAACAGCACATTTAACTATTTTAACTACTCAATAAAGTGATCAGAAATTGGTAATTTTGCCAATTTCACAATTAAAAAATTGCCAATTTAAAAAAAGGTCCAGAATAAACAATGTAGACATTCCTGGCACTAAAACATTTCCTCTCTTTGTTATTTACATCCCCAGGCCTCTCTTATATTTCACTTACTTTCTATTTTGAATTTTTAGTCACACAAAAAATAGAAGATTTACTGTTATGCAGACTACTGCATTATTGTAACAATTGTATAAATAATATCAACGCATTTGTGAACACGCATTAAGACTGACCAATTAGACACCAATTTGACCCCCGGAACTCTCTCCAGGTAAACTCCAGGTAAACGTATTCGACAAGTGATGCGATTTGTGTTCTCTGGAACAGTGAACAAAATTGAATATTTCCTCTGAGCTCAATTTCACACAACTTCCAGTCCTAAAACCAATCAAAGGCATTGCTATTTCTATAATATATCTTCCATTCTATCAAATGATACAAGGAAACTTAAAATGAAACCATAAAAACTATCCAAAAATACACCACAAAGTCACTATTTTAAACCATACATAGTTTATTCCATCATACCCTACGTGGGGCAAGACTTTTTTATATGTGGTGCACACTTCCTGCATAGACCCACTCTCTCACATGCAGGCCAAAATTTACCGTTCACAGCTTATCTAAGTGAATTGAGCTCATCACGTAGTTCTACAGCACGGACACTGAGTTCAAAGCCATAGTACTACGGCACAGACTGCAAAAGGGTTTTATTATGTAGAAATGACTGGAAATAATTTAAATATATAGAGTGGAAGACTGACATGAATAACAAAGATGTGTAGTTTGGAGGGGTATTTGAACAGTAGCATGCATGCCTCTGGCTGGACAGTGCAGTGAATGATGATGAATGTTTCTTTTTTTTTTCTTTTTCTTTTTTTTTTTGGTGTGGGGGGGGGAGGGTGGGTCTGTGTCTACGAGACAGATAGAAACACAGAGATACACATGGATATATGATATGATAACGACATATAAAATACTGAGAGGTATAGACAAAGTGGACAGAGACAGGATGTTTCAGAGATGGGACACAGCAGCAAGGGGTCACAGTTGGAAGCTGAAGACTCTGATGAACAACAGGGATATTAGGAAGTATTTCTTCAGCCACAGAGTTGTCAGGAAGTGGAATAGCCTGGGTAGTGATGTAGTGGAGGCAGGATCCATACATAGCTTTAAGAAGAGGTATGATAAAGCTCACGGAGTGGGAAGAGTGATCGGGTAGCGGCCAGTTGAAAGGGCGGGATCAGGAGCTGTGACTCGACCCCCGCAATTACAACTAGGTGAGTACACAGACACAGACAGACAGATGCACACACACACAATATAACACCTGAGTAGTTTTTTTTAGGAAATGGCTGATCCTCCAGACTGGTTTGTCTACAAATGTTCTTAATTCAGTTTGCACAGTAGCTTCATACTTTACAATATTCTCAATCAATAAGAAATTTTTTTTTATAAATATTCAAGTAATATCTTACCTGCTCCTTTTCTTATCTCGGGGTGAGACAGGTCTACGAGGCACTCTGGGTCTTGCTAGTGGACTTCTTCTTGTGGTCTGAGTAACAGGTGAAGGTCCCAACCTGTCTTCAATTCTTCTGTTCTTATCCTTATCTCTGCTTCCTTCTCTTCTTCTCTCCCTGGAACCATCCCCACGAGCACTGCGTCCAATGGGTGAGCGGAGGTGCCTTTCATCTCGCGGCCGATTTTTTGGGAGTGTTTGGCTAGAGCTGGAGTGATTGCCATCCTTACCCCAGTTCCTGACATCACTATTACGATACTCAGATTCACGTTCTCCAGATCTTAGTCGCTTTGCAGATTCTGTATCATGAGTTCGCTCACGTGAGCCAAGCCTTCTGTCTGATTCTTTTCTCTTATCCCTGTCACCTTTGCTCCTATCATTGCCCCTTCTGTTAGCAACACTTCTATTATCTCGACTGAGACTCCTGGCTGTGCCTGAAATACTCGCTTTGCTGCTGTACCTAATTAAATAAATAAAAAAAAACATTAGGAAATGCATATATTTTGTTGGTTTTGCTGCACATCTCATTTTTTTGCTTTAATTTTTCTTTATTACAAGAAGAAAATTTTTGTTTCCTTAATATCTTCTTAAACTTTCTTATCACTCACTTTACATCACATCACTGTTTCTAAAATCAGATAATGGCCCTCCAGCACCTACCCTACCCTACCTTTGCTGCACGCACTAATTGCCTTCTTAAAGCCACACCACTCTTCAGGTCTTTCCTAAAATTCAAGTTATCACTGAAGTACTCAATAGATATTTGTTAATTACTGGATATGGGGATATCAACTCATGGCCTGGTCTTAGGCAAGGCTTCTATTTTATACTCTTATGATAAGACGGTAGTCTCTCCCTGGATGATTACCATCTACCAACCTACATGTGAGAACTTATTTTTTAAACTCCTTTTACATCAGTTGTTTATGTAGTATCACACTGGGGAGAGAAAGAAGAGAGAAACTGAGCTGACACCACAAAAGAAACTGGTGAATTTCAACATTCTGCCATTTTTCTCTTACAATAGACAGCCTATGGCCCATACCAATGAGGGTAATCATGCATCAGACAGCCCACAAGATGCTGTAGGAAGTTGCACTTTCATAAGCTCTACCCCATATTGGACCCTTTCTATTGGATTGTTTGACAAATTATATTTTGGCAAGTGAAGAACATTGAATCACAATGGATAGCAATTATTTCAAGAACATCTCTGATAGTATGCCTTCAACTGCTAAACAAGTAATGAAAGCTGAAGGTTACAGAATAAAGTGTTTAGTTCTTTGTTTTGTTACCCCTTTTTATTAATATTTTTTTTATGTAAAATGATGTAAAATAGTATAATGCTGACGATTTCTACTGTATCAACTTCTTGTGGGCACTGTAGCTACTACAAAGCAAGACCAAATGAAACGTCTCCTTGGATAATGCATACTGTGCACTTAAAATCTTTCTCCTAAACCTTTTATCAAACACAATGTAGTTCACCAGAAGACTGGACTAAGATAGCACAATTAGATTTGCCTCGACCCTTTTCCTTAGATACAATTACTGTACTGTAGTCAAGCTCTCCAATAAACTACACAGCCTAACAAGGTTCTTTACTAATAAAAAATATAAACTACTGATAAAATAACCTAAGGCAGCTTTGTAAATAATGAAAGCCTCCCCTATCCAGTTTAGAAGCTTTACAAACAGCAATCTGAATAGAATTTCAGAGAAGCTTTACAAACAGCAATCTGAACAGAATTTCACTCTCAGATATGCTTAGCAACAAGAACTGTCAAATTATAAATCTGTCAACTCAAAAAACAATATTGCAATAACTTTCAAGTTGCATTGCAAAAATACAAGGATACAAGGGTAACATTGTGATGAAGAAAGAACTGTTAGAACATCCTCTTATCACTCCTTTGTCAACCCATCCCTCTCCATCTTGTCTACATGCCTAAATTACCTCAACAACCCCTCCTCATCCCTCTCAAACTCTTGGTCACACCACATCGCCTTTTAATTTCTATGCTCTGAATTCTCTATATCAGGGATTCCCAACTTTTTCTATGCCCCACAACCCCTAGGAAATGTTTGATTAATGTTGTACCCCCTACAAGAGTAATATCACATTTCAATCACAAACTGAACCAAATACAGTACTACAGGTGAATAAATTGAACTAAAAAAATAAGTTTTTAATTCACTGCATAAAATGCAAATATGACTTGAGCAATTAGAAAAGTTTTGGCAAAATAAATAGAAATGTGCTTTTCATTAGGACTCTTTGTTGCACCCCCTGGGTGTGTGTGCATCCCAGGTTGGGAACCCCTGCTCTACACACATGACATTTCCACTGCTTCTAGCCTCCTTTCCATTGCAGTATTCCAAAAGCTATACCTCACACCCATATGAAAATGTTGGTACCACTATACTTTGATATGTTCCATAGATAAATTTATTTATTTATTTATTTTGTTTATTTACTTCAACACACACACTCCCCCTCATCTATTCTATTGTTCGCTTCATCTTTCAAAGACCCATTTGCTGACATGTCCATTCCCAAATATCTAAATACTACCAAATGGAGTATAGGTAATGAGATCAAAAAAGAATGGGGTAGATTTAAGAATGCAGTGCTAGTGTGTGCAACAAAAGCTTGTGGATATAGTATGGAGAGTGAAGGAGAGAAGAGGAGCAATGGTAAAATGAGGTAAAGAGTCGTATGGGGGAAAAGCTAGCATACGAGAGATTTTGACAACGCAGAAGTGATATACAGAGAGTGGAGTATATGGAGAGTAAAAGTTAAGAGTGGTAAGGGATGTGTAAAAGGAGAGCAAATGAATAAATGGGTGAGGTTTTGTTAACAAATTTTACCGAGAATAAGAAAGTTTTGGAGAGATATTACCAAAACTGTTGTCCAGAGGGCTGAGGAAGGGTTGTTGAGGTGGTTCGGACATGTAGAGAGAATGGAGCGAAACAGAATGACTTCAAGAGTGTATCAGTCTGTAGTGGAAGGAAGGCGGGGTAGGGGTCGGCCTAGGAAAGGTTGGAGGGAGGGGGTAAAGGAGCTTTTGTGTGCGAGGGGCTTGGACTTCCAGCAGGCGTGCGTGAGCGTGTTTGATAGGAGTGAATGGAGACGAATGGTTTTTAATACTTGACGTGCTGTTGGAGTGTGAGCAAAGTAACATTTATGAAGGGGTTCAGGGAAACTGGCAGACCGGACTTGAGCTCTGGAGATGGGAAGTACAGTGCCTGCACTCTGAAGGAGGGGTGTTAATGTTGCAGTTTAAAAGCTGTAGTGTAAAGCACCCTTCTGGCAAGACAGTGATGGAGTGAATGATGGTGAAAGTTTTTCTTTTTCGGGCCACCCTGCCTTGGTGGGAATCGGCCAGTGTGTTAATAAAAAATAATAAAAATAAATGGTAAGGTGGATAGGGGAGCAATGTGGCAGACATTCCAACTGTATGGAATAAGGGGTAAGTTACAGAAATTAATTAAGAGTATAAAAAAAAAAAAAAAATTAGGTAATGAAAAATTGGATACCAGATTGGAAGGAGAGAGTAGCGAGGAACTGAATGTATTCAGATATTTGGGAGTGAATGTGTTGGTGGAAGGGTCTATGAAAGATAGATGAACCATAGAACTGACAAGGGGAAGTTAAGACACATGTGCAACATCTGGATATCTTTATTGTAGTAGACGTTTCGCCATCCAGTGGCTTTATCAATACAGATTCTAGGACATAATAGGAAGACAGTAGAACTATATACAAAAGATGAGGTAATCAGTCCCTCGGCCTTGGAGTTAGTGTTCACAGCATCGTGGTGGAGTGTACTCTCCTCCACCACGATGCTGTGAACATAACTCCAAGGCGAGGGACTGATTACCTCATCTTTTGTATATAGTTCTACTGTCTTCCTATTATGTCCTAGAATCTGTATTGATAAAGCCACTGGATGGCGAAACGTCTACTACAATAAAGATATCCAGATGTTGCACATGTGTCTTAACTTTCATATTGTCGGTATTTTATACCTTTCTTTGCACAACTGACAAGGGGAAAAAGGTGGGTGGTGCACTGAGACATCTGTGGAGGCAAAGAGGGGGAATGTATCAAAGTATGGTGCTACCAACACCCTGAAATGGGCGTGAACTATGGGTTTTAAATGTTGCAGCGAGGAGGAAGTCGAAGGCAGTGAAATTGTCACGTGTGAATATAATGTATAGTTTAATTTGAAAATTAGTACCATTTGGAGAGTTGAGGAGAGATTATAGAGGGGGCTTGAACATTTCGAGAGGATGGAGGAAAACTGGACAACTTGGAGGGGGTGTATAAATTTGTGGTGAGGGAAGGAGGGGTGGTGGGTTGTCCTAGGTTTGCAACCTCTCTAATATAAATTTTTCTAATTATAATTTTTTACTAGCTCATTTTTGTAAATTTACCGCTCCATAACCTATGTCAAGTTTTAAGTAGTCTTTAAGTATTAAGGTGCCTTTCTTTGTGCTTAACAATACTTTATTACATGTAAACTACAGTTTGTATACTATACAAAGAAATAAAAGTTTTGCATTTTGAGGGAGGGGTAAAGGAGATTTTGTATGCAAGGGTCTTGGGCATCCAACAAGTGTGTGTGAGAGCATGTTAGATAGAAGTGGAGGCAAGTGGTTTTTATGACTTCATGTTGGAGTATGAGCAAGGAAACATTTATGAAGGGATTCAGGAAACTGTTTAGCCAGACTTAAGTCCTGGAGGTGGGAAGTACAGTGCCTGCACTCTGAAGGAAAGGTGAGGATATTGCAGTTTGGAGGGGCATCTGAACTGTAGTGTCAGTGCATTTCTGGCAAGACAGTGAAGGAACACGTGATGGTAAGAGTCTCTTCTTTTTCGGGCCACCTTTCCTTGGCGGGAGACTGCCGGTGTAAAAAAAAAAAAAAAAAAATCCATATTCAATCTACCACTGCCTAGACTGTTACCCTCACCACCTTGCTCTCTTCTATATTCACTTTTAATTTTCTTCTTTTACATACCCTCCTAAATTCATCTACCAACCTTTTGTAATTTGCCTTCAGAATCCCCTAAAAGTACTGTACCATCGGCAAAGAGAAACTGAGACAACTTCCACTTTGTATCAGATCCAACATCTTTCATTACTCCAACTCTTCTAAACACCCAAGTATTTACTTCTTTCAGAGCCACATCTGTAAGTATGTTAAACAACTATGGTGACATCATGCATCCATCTAAATTTTACTGTGAATGGAAGTTATAGAAGTTATAGAATAATAATACAGTGTAAACTGTAGTAACAAAAAGCTCCTCACATGGTAATACTAAATATAATGAACATATAGCTAAATTATTATCAACATTAACATAATAGCACAGTTTCCAAACCTCTCTTTTGATCTGGTACCCTCAAAGCTTCGCTCTCTGCTACTTCTCTGCCCTCTGAGATACGGACTCCTTGGAGAGGGGGGTCTTCTGCTAGGAGGGGATGGGGGCCGTCGAGGAGAAGTTACACGTCGCAAGGGTGATGGGGAACGGTACTGTCTGGAGACAGTGGCCTGGAGTGTTGGGCTCCTTTTACTGTTTGATGCATATCCTATAAAACAAGCAAAAATAAATAATTTAAACTATAATTCTTAGTGTAGTGTACAAAAATTTCTTCTACAATCAACTCTATGAACACACACACTGTGCATGCTCTATCATTGTTCAAGGAGGATATTACAAAACTATCTTAATGACAAGTTTTGCAATTTTCCTTTTTACCACATTTTTTTCACAAATACTATAGTCATATCTACAAATTCATGGGCTACCTTCTTTAACCTTTTCAATGACCATCACATAGAACTAAGTCATTAAAGCGAGGGTCCCTCATGTAGTTTTAAGTCATAGGTTCAGCTCACTCAAATAAGCTGCAAGTGCTAAATTTTGGCCTAGATATGAAAGAATGGGTCAGCGTGGTGAGTGTGCACAGTACAGGTGCTCCTCGACCTACAATGGGGTTATGTTCTGACAAACCCAATAAGTAAATAACTACTGTCACTGAATAAGTAAACAAATAATTACTGTAACTAAATACCAGTAGTGAAAAGTAAATAAATGAATACAAGTTATGAACTTGCTGCCTTCAGCTGGGTAATTTTCTCAGGTTTCATCTCCAAAGTAATTGTTTTTGCACCACTGTAAAGTCAAAATATATTAAGTTGAGAAGCACCTGTATAAAAAATAAATCCTGCCCTATGCGGAACATGACAAAAAAAAAAAAAACTAACTGTGTCTGGTTTAACCTCTCAAGGGTGGGTCCCATAGTACTACGGCTTTGAAGCCAGGGTCGGTCCCATAGTTCTAAATGATGAGCTCAACTCACTCAGATAAGCTGTGAGTGGTAAATTTGGGCCTAGATATGAGAGAATGGGTCTATGCAGTAACCATGTATCACATAAAAAAAAATCCTGCAGCAAGCAGTTCATAATGGGAATAAAAAAAAAAGCTTACCGTGTTTTTGGTTTAAGACACCAACTTTGCGGAGTACTTTCATATGGTTTTTACGGTTTTATTTCAGGTTTCTTGGTCTCATTTTATAGAATGGAAGATATATTACAGAAAAAGAGATGATTTTGATTGGTTTCATGACTGAAAGAAACTTGAAATTGAGCTCAAAGTAGTGAAAATTTTTTATTTTTACTGATATTCCAAAGCACACAAATGACTTCACTAGTCCAGTCTTACACGCATTTATGAATGCATTGACATTTATACAATTATTACAATAATGCAGTAGTCTCCATAATAGAAAATATTCAATTTTTTTGTTTGAATAAAAATCCAAGAATGTCTGCCTTGTTGATCCTGGACCCTAGTTCAGTTTAATATGTTTATTATGCACCCCATACCCATCCTGTGGGCGGTAGTCAAAAGATTACAGAGGTACATAATTGGTCCAGGGACTGGACTCCAAAGTTTTGATAGCTGAGCAAGTTACAAAGGTAATGAACTAGATCTGGTCATAATCATGACCAAGTTACAAAGGTAATGAGCTCCAGGTAGAGCTGGTCACACTCATGAATAATTGCAAAGGTAATGAATCATAAACACATTAATCATGAGAATTTACAAAGGTAATGAGCTCCAGGTAGAGCTGGTCAAAATCATGACAAGTTTCAAAGGTAATGAATGATAAACACGTTATCACATGATTACAATCATAGACAAATTACAGAGTAATGAGCAGTTAACAAACATAGCAGGGAATTCATCCATTGCCCCAACAACAGATGTTGCTAGGTGCCTGTCTCTCCTCGGCAGACAGCCATTGCAAACAGCAGCAAGTTGCCCCGGGATCTGCTGCTTGCACGAGCACCATCGACCCTCCCCAAGAAGTCCAAGAAGCCAGTGGCTCCGTTAGCAGCCCGATGGAGAGCTGTCCTAGGGACATGGCAACGTCCTGGTGGACGCCAAGTTGACTGAAGATCCCAGGCCCTCGTGTGCACGGATGTTGAAGCTTGAGGAACCGAGTACACACTGCCTGTGGCACACCTGACAGCTGCCTCACGGTCAAACTCCACGATGCTGTCCCTGTAGTGGAATCTCCTGTGAGCCCGGCACTCCCTACAGTGCCATCGCTGACATCGTGGGTTAGGGGAGAAGTACCCTCTATAGATGGGGTGGCGCTGGGAGTTCCTGACCCTATCTTGGAATTTTGCGTGAAGCAGGCCAAATTACCAACCTGATAACTTTATTTGGTAGATGAAATAGTTGAACGAGTGGTTTCTTGAACTCAGTAGAATGGAAGGCATACTAGTGAAATAGCTAAGAATATGGTTGACTGGAACAATGAAATTGGCCTAAAACTACTCAAAGAGGGCGAAATCACTAATGCATAAATAATACTGACAGCAAAATTTGTGAAAACATAATTTAGTCAGTTTTCCATCAAATTTTATACTTTGTTTTATTACCTTCAGAAACATTCTCTACCATTTCATGATTTTTTTTTTTTTTTTTTAATGTTCCTACTCTGACAGCAAGCCTAAGATCAGGGGTCCCGACCCTGCAAGGGTTAAAATAGCGACTGAGGTGTTTTCTAGGATGGTTTTTATGGTTTTACTGGTTTGTTTCTTGGTATCTGATAAAATGAAAGACATTACTGAAAGATGATTTTGGTTGGTTTCACAACTAGAAGTACATAAGAACATAAGAATGGAGGAACACTGCAGAAGGCCTACTGGCCCATGCGAGGCAGGTCCTTATCAAAACGACTACTGCCTAAAGCTTCCCTAGAAATAACTCCCGTACCCAATGACACCAATCAAACCCAGCCCCTCCCACTCATATATTTGTCCAGTCTCTTCTTAAAGCTACCCAAGGTCCTAGCCTCTATCACCCCACTGGGAAGACTGTTCCACGCATCTACAACTGTTAGAGAACCAGTACTCACCTATGTCCTTTCTAAATCTAAATTTATCCAAAATCCATTATTCCTGGTTCTTACCTAGTTCGACACCCTCAGTACTTTATTAATATCTCCCTTGTTTATGCCCGTCATCCACTTATACACTTCAGTGATATCTCCCCTCATTCTACGCCTCTCCAGAGAGTGGAGATTTAAGGCTTTGAGTCTATCTTCATACGGGAGGTTCCTTACACAGTAAATCATTTTAGTCATTCTTCTCTGTATGTTCTCTAATGAGTCTATATCCATCCTGTAGTAAGGGGACCAAAACTGAGCAGCATAATTTATACATCACTAGTGATGTATAGAGCTGTAAAATAACTTTTGGACTTCTGTTACTTATACTTCTTGAGATAAATCCAAGTAATCTGTTGGCCTTGTTGCACACACTAAGGCACTGCTGTCTTGGCTTCAGATTTCTGCTTACCATGACTCCCAAGTCTTTTTCACATTCTGTATGATCAAGCTCTACTTCACCTAGATTATAGCTTCGAGGGTTATTTTCATTACCAAGGGCAAGTACCTTACACTTATCCACATTGAACTTCATCTGCCATTTTTCAGACCAAGACATTAATTTGTCCAAATCGTCCTGGAGTTCATTGATATCCTCCTCAGAGTGAATTATACGGCCTATCTTTGTATCATCAGCAAATTTACTCGTGTCACTCGTAATCCCTTCATCAAGGTCATTAATGTAAATTATAAACAAGAGAGGGCCTAAAACTGATCCTTGTGGAATGCCACTAGTGACTAATCCCCATTCAGATTTCACTCCATTAATGGTAACTCTCTGCTTTCTATTGGTAAGCCATGCCTCAATCCATGCTAGAACTTTACCTCCTATACCATGAGCTGCCACTTTTTTTAAGAGTCTCTTCTGAGGTACTCTATCGAAGGCTTTACTAAAATCCAAATAAACAATATCATATTCCTTATCACTGTCAACTGCCTCAAATGTTCTATTGAAGAACGTCAGTAAGTTTGTCAGGCAGGAACGACCTCTCGTGAATCCATGCTGAGATTCATTTATCAAGTTATGCTCTTCAAGGTGACTTCTGATAATGTCAGCTATAATTGATTCTAATAACTTGCCCACTATAGATGTCAGGCTTATTGGATGGTAATTTGAAGGAGTGGACTTATCCCCTGATTTGAATATAGGAACCACATTAGCCATCTTCCACAACTCTGGCACAACACCGGTAAGGATGGACGCATTGAATACACTCGTTAATGGCTGACTAAGCTCCATCTTGCATTCCTTAAGTACCCTGGAAAACAACTCATCGGGTCCCGGGGACTTATTTTCTTTCAGTTTGTCTATCTGTTTAATAACCATGTCCCTCGTGACAGTAATATTAGTTAACTTAAATTAATCGGGAACTAAACAATTGTTAATTACTGGAATCTCATTTACATCTTCCTGTGTAAAAACTGACAAAAAATAGTCTTTAAATAAGGAACACATTTCCAGTTCATTATCCGTCAGCTGTCCATTCCCAGTTTTCTGAGGTCCTACTTTTTCCTTCACCTTCGTCCTATACACTTGAAAGAACCCCTTTGGATTAGTCTTTGATTCATTAGCAACTCTAATTTCACAGTCATGTTTAGCCTTTCTAATTGCCTTTTTTACTTCTCTTTTAAGCTAAACATATTGGTCAGTAAGGTTAACCTCTCCTCTTCTGATGCGCCTATAAATTCCCCTTTTCTCCCCTAATAGATGCTTTAGCCTCCTGTTAACCTATTTGGGTTAACAGGGCTCAAAGTTGCAGAAATATTAAATTTTTGAAGATTTTTGCTGAAGACTGGTAGGTGTTCTCATATCTCCCCCAGTCTGCTATGGGTTTGGATTAAGTCAGATTCAATTACTGGGACACTGCAAACCATGACTAATCATTCCTGGTTATATTTTATTATCTGGGAAATAGAGAAACTATTTTTGTGTGATTATGAATTGAAAATAGAAGGCAAGCGTAATATAGGAGAGGCCTGGGAACATGGTTAATGAACAAAACAAATGTTTTACTTCCAGGAAAGCCTACATTGTTTATTTTGCAATATTTTTAAAATGGTATTTTTTTAGTTGTAAAAATTGGCCAAATTACCGACTTCTGGGTACTTTATAAGGTTGTTGTAATTGTGGAAATGGGTAGTTTCTTGTACTCTCACAATATAATGGAAGGCATACTAGCAAAATGGCCAAGAATTTGATTGAATGGAACAAAATAGCCAATGCGTAAATTGCACCCTGATCACTAACTTTGCACCTGTATAATTCAGCAAGTTTTTTAGTAAATTTTGTGCAAAAGAGTGTAAGTGTATATGACCAGCACATATGAGCGTCTGACTCACATCCAGGTAGTAAAGTACAACCTTAAAACTTGGCTGGCAGGCCAGCTCTCATACCATTGGTTGACTTAATACACAAATAACCCGCACACAAGAGAAACTTATGACAATGTTTCGGTCTGACTTGGACCATTCACAAGTCACACAGACAGAAGAAAATGAGTGAGCCAGTATATAGTGGCGAGAGGACAGGGACAGGAGAAAGAGGGAAAAGAAGTAATGGTAGTGGTAATGTATTTGTGACCCTTCAGTTCCTTGCATACAAAATTTCCACTCTTGCCTTCTCACGTGCTTAACGGACTTTCTTCTCTCCCAAACTCCCTACTTCTGTGAAAGTTACTGTTTTCTGCCTTCCTTATATTTCCAGTCTTTCTAATCTCAACAACTCTCTCCATTCCCTAGTCTGTGTGACTTAAAATGGTCCAAAAAGGACCAAAAATATCATCATAAGTTTTTCTGTGCAGGTTATTTGTGCACTGTTCCAGTCAGAGTATTGTGCCTTTTTGTTCTTTATTGGTTGACTTAACTGGATAATTAATGGAGCAGAGGGGCCCCAGAACAGCTCCATTCTGAATTACCAGTTGGCTGATCAAGAGGGCATGTCAACAGATGTGTGATGAATGCTGAATAAATTGCAAAGTACTCTGTGTAACCATTGTGTAAAACTATTACAGATTATTGCTTCACACATTTGGCAGGACAAAAGTACCTCCCTGGATGGCTGCTGTTTAAATATATATCACAGAAATGGTCTCAAACATTATCTGTACAGACTAATTATATATTAGTTTGTAGCTTCTCAGAACCTTTAGGGACATAACCCCACATGAATTTGTAGGCATGCCTGTACATTTTCTTAAAAAAAAAAAAAAAAAAAAATTTAGCAAACTAGGAAAAAATAATTAGTCTAATATTACACTTTTATTCAAATATGGTAATACCAATATTCAATGTTTAAAAAGATTTGAACAATTCTTACTTCTGGGACTTGTCGAGGTATAACTGGGATAGCTGCGAGTGACCAAAGGTTGTGGGGATGGCGGTGATGGTGGTCTTGCATGGGGTGAGGTTGGACGTAGGTCACGTGGGTATTGTCCTGGCGGACCATACACAACACTGTCTCCGATCACATACCTAAAATTTTTCAGAAGATTTAATAAATGCTCTAGACAAATAAATCTTAACACCAGCACTTGGCTATAAAATAACAGTTAACTCACTTACAGTAAAGGAAAGGGGAAGAGAGAAAGAAGGGGAAGGGGAGGGAAGGCAGTCAATCAATGAAGCAGACTATGGCCACTTAATTGAAACTTTTAATATAACAAGAATTTTTGGTAAATCGGACACCCCTTCCCCTCCCTATTAGTCCATTTTACTGGACTTTAATGTACTTGTTTTCTAAAATTATATGATGATACAGTTATTTGCAGGAAACCAGTACCTTACTATATCACCTTTAAAAGTCTAGAGGCAGGCTATTATCACATTAGCATTAAAATTATACACCAGGTAATTATCTATCAAGAGTAATTAGATAGTGCCATAAAGTTATTCCTCCTCTCCCTTATTTTTAGCTAAGTAGGCTGGAGAGTAAAATTAAATTATTTTTTTTATGTGCAGTAGTGCAAGGAACTAGGGAAATGGGCTTACCACTCATCAGAAGTAAAGGCACTTTCTATTAGGTTTAAGTCCTATTTGCAAAACCTAATTTTCAAGTTATTCAATGATGTTTTGTACATAATGAAGATAGGATTCAGCAATATGCTTAAAAACACACACAACACACACACACACACAAGTATTATTAATGCACAATGGAAGATACACAAAACAGCAAGTGGGTATCTGCAGCAGCAGCAACTAAAGACTATCTTTTCTAAGTTTCCCAATATAGGGGAAAAAAAAAAAGCATGTCCAATTGATAACTGATTAAGATGTTCTTGAAAATGGCACTTAAGAAAAAATAAAATAAACTGATAATATATGGGAAAAATAGGGTTACATTCTCTGGAACCCCAAAAATAGCAAAAAATTTTAGGTCTCCAAATTGTATAAAAATAAATGTAATTGAAGTTGGTTTAATGCATTGATTTAGGCTACAAATCTTACAGAAATATTTCTTACCCTAACATGTGGTTGCTGGTACCAGTATGATTCTGAACAGAGTGAAGAAGGACGCTGTGGCCCTACTGGGCTGATGTGGAAGGTTGTGGATTGTCTACTGGTGGATATTTGAGACTCTGGCACTAAAGTCAATGGTTGTACAGTGGACCCCCGGTTAACGAACTTTTTTCATTCCAGTAGTATGTTCAGGTGTCAGTACTGACCGAATTTTTTCCCATAAGGAATATTGTGAAGTAGATTAGTCAATTTCAGACCCCCAAACATACACGTACAAACGCACTTACATAAATACACTTACATAATTGGTCGCATTTGGAGGTGATCGTTATGCGGGGGTCCACTGTACTGTACTGAGAAATTCTATGTGTCTTTGGTCTCTTTTACCCTGCAGTGCTGTATGTGGCTGATGGTAAGGCATCACCTGCTGCTCTAGGCCTCAGATGAACACACAGGGAAAGTTGAGTTTCACTCATTAGACCCCAAAAAATGCCAACCAATTTTTTAAGCTATGTAATTTGGCAAAACTAAAAACTAACAAGTTTTCTATTCACAGTACAGGAGGGCCCCATTTGTATGGCTCTTAGGTTCCTGACTTTGTACAATAAGCAAACATTGTCAGCTGGAAATTTTTTTTTTCCATTATTGAATATGTCTAAAATGCCTGATAAATGTGATTGCACTACAGTATCATATTAAGTGCTCATTACAGCTAGGCATTAAAAAAAAAAGACAAACAATAGTAAAATATACAGTATAATACTTACCTTAAAACATGGTGCTGGTCACTCTTCCCTTACTTAACTGTTGAATGAAAATGGCAGAGAAGCGGTAAAACCACTGAACATAATGAACGATACCTTAACTGAAAGCCAATGAAAGCACAGAACACTGAAAAGAGGGTGCTGTATATGCAGAGCCCTCATGTAGTTGTCATTGCTTGATATGGAAATGTGTGGGGAGAGATAATGTGACCCAGTACAACACCTACGCAAACCTGTGAAATGTGAAAGGGAGTTCCGCATCTATTACCTGTCACAACTATCACCTGCCTCCACCAAAACCACTATCACCTGCAAATATTAGTAAAAAAATACCATATTTTACCAGCTACGACAAGATTTTTCAATAAATAATATGTCCAAGAGTAATAATACCCACCATCATAAAAATGCAAGCTATCCAAAAAATATGAAAAAATGAAAATCCTAAGAAAAGCTTCTCAAGGCTCAGCTTGTGTTGGTATTGATGGGTTCAGGGTTGTGACGGCCCAAGGATTGTTGTGTCCTCACATCGTAAGACGAAATTATCGTAAGTCGAATTAATTTTCCCCATAAGAAATAATGGAAATCAAATTAATCCGTTCCAGACACCCCAAAGTATGAAAAAGAAAAAAAATTTTACCACATGAAATATACATTTCCCTACACACAAAAAGGAGGATACATGCACAATATATATTGTATAATGAAGAATAAATGACACCTTTATTGCAGATGTGGTGATGAGTGATGGGATGGGAGGAGGGGAGATGAGGAGGTGTTATTTTTTAGTAGGGAAATCCCCTTCCATAAGGACTTTAGGTAGCAAGTCCTTTTCTGGGGTTACTTCCCTTCTTGTAATACCATTGGGAACAACTTGAGAGTCACTGGACCTCTGTCACACCAAAAATCTGTCCATAGAGCTCTGTACCTCGCGTTCCTTTAAGATTTTCCTAAAGTGGTTCACAACATTGTCATTGTAAGTCACCAGAATGGCTTGCAATAGCTGTGTCAGGGTCATTTTCTTCCATAGAGGTTTACAGTTCAACCCACTTTGCACACATTCCCTTAACCCTTTGACTGTCGAAGGGCCCAATCCTGAAGTTGCTCCTGGTGTCACAAAATATTCGAAAAAAAAAATTATTTTTTCTTATGAAAATGTTAAGATTATTTTTCTGATTGTTTTAGTCCCCAAAAAATTTTTTTCCCATCAGTACTTACCGAGATATAGAGGCATGAAGTTTGCAGAAAATGAGCCGCGTATGGCAACAGCGGCGACTGCCGCTCACCCGGTAAACTTTGGTTTACTTGTATTTGAAGGTTTGTTGTTTTTTTCACTATTTTATTTTTTTACATAACTTATGTGGCCTGTGAGACCAAAGTGAGGTGCAATGTACATATATACACTCGTTGTATACAACACAATAAGCACACAAACATAATTATCAATATATTGTTTACAAAACTTGTTTACAAAAACAAACAATACAAAAAATTTTTTATTACTATTGTTCTATAATATATATACCAATATACAGTCACTGAACATACTCCTAGAAGTTCTGTAGCTTGTGGAACTCTGTGAAACATGGTGTCATACACAGTGGTGTTTTACACTCTCACACATAAAACATGGTGTCATACACAGTGGTGTTTTACACTCCTCACACATAAAACATGGTGTCATACACAGTGGTGTTTTACACTCTCACACATAAAACATGGTGTCATACACAATGGTGTTTTACACTCTCACACACAAAATCAGTGTGTGTGCATTTTTGTTGAATTTTTTTTTTATGTGCAAAGACAAAACACCTCGTCTGAGCAGTTTTCTTCAAAGTATTAGCAGGCAGTTGTGTTATGTAGCTATCCTAGGTAAATGGTCGTGTGTCATCCTTCCTTCCTAATTTCCTTCATTCCTTTCCTTCCTGGAGGCTACCTGGAGGGCATTCCACCTCTCTTCCTACATTCCTTCATCTGTCCTTCATTACTTTTTTCCTTCCTTTCATCTAGTCCTTCCTTCATTCCTGCCTTCCCTTCTTGCTTCTGGTTTCTATTATATATATACACATATATAGTCACTAGATACTTTCATAAAACTGCTATTATCACCCTTCAGCAAGCTTGTCTTGTGTGCGAGTGTGTGGCTTATAATTGTTTTGAGTCAGGAGTGGGCAGCTGTCAAAATGACATATTGTCTCATTAGTCACTGCCCCTACCGCCTGTCAAAACAATGGGGTCGGATGCTGCTTCCCCCTCCATTCTATCTAATTATCTTTCTCCCTCATTCTATCTCTTTCAATCTGTCTCTCTTTCTCTCTCTCTGTCTATCTCTGTCTCACAGGTACACATAAATACAACTATACATAGTGTAAATTACCTAGGATAACCCAAAAAATCCAGACAAAGTGCTATACTCTGCTTGAAGATGTGAGTAAACGTGATGATGACAGTCTTGTGGCTCTCTCTGAGACAGAGCTAGACGGATAGACAGGGAGTTTGGCAGACAGACAAATAGACAGACAGACAAATGTTCCTCCTCCTCCTCCTCATGTTCCTCCTCCTCCTCCTCCTCCTCATGTTCCTCCTCCTCCTCCTCCTCCTCATGTTCCTCCTCCTCCTCCATGTTCCTCTCCTCCTCCTCCTCCTCATGTTCCTCCTCCTCATGTTCCTCTCCTCCTCTCATGTTCCTCCTCCTCCTCCTCATGTTCCTCCTCCTCCTCCTCATGTTCCTCCTCCTCCTCCTCATGTTCCTCCTCCTCATGTTCCTCCTCCTCCTCATGTTCCTCCTCCTCCTCATGTTCCTCCTCCTCCTCATGTTCCTCCTCCATGTTCCCCTCCTCCTCATGTTCCTCCCTCCTCATGTTCCTCCTCCTCCCCTCTATGTTCCTCCTCCTCATGTTCCTCCTCCTCATGTTCCTCCTCCTCATGTTCCTCCTCCTCATGTTCCTCCTCCTCCTCATGTTCCTCCTCCTCCTCATGTTCCTCCTCCTCATGTTCCTCCTCCTCTCATTCCTCCTCATGTTCCTCCTCCTCTCATGTTCCTCCTCTCCTCATGTTCTCCTCCTCCTCCTGCATGGTCCTCCTCCTCTTTTCCTCATTTCCTCCTCCTCATGTTCCTCTCCTCCTCCTATGTTCCATCCTCTTCTCCTCTCTCTATGTTACTCTCCTCCTCCTCTTCATGTTCCTCCTCTTCCTCCTCCTCCTCTCCTCATGTTCCTCCTCCTCCTCCTCCTCCTCTTTCCTCCT